GAAGGAAAGACTCACTGGAGAAGAGCCTCATGCTGGGAATGATTGAGGGCAAAAGAAGAAGAAGGGGACGGCAGAGAAGGAGGTGGCTGGATGGAGTCACCGAAGCAGTCGGCCGGAGATTAAGTGGACTCCAGAGGATGCTAAAGGTCAGGAAGGCTTGGAGGAATGTTGTCCATGGGGTTGCGATGGGTCGGACACGACTTCACAACTAACAACAACGACGTTAGCTGTACATGGATCACGTCAAAATATTTCACCTGCTTTCTTTTCTTTTTCTTCTTTAACCCTTTAACGGAACAGGGACCAGACAGTCTTTTAAACAGGGGCCTGCAGTTTCCTGGGGTCACCGTTTGTAAACTTCCGATAAGCAAAGTCAACAGGGAAGCCATTTTCACTTAACCTGTGTTACTAACTCAACAGCTGTGGTGATTCGCTTAACAATGGTGGAAAGAAAGATTGCAAAATGAGGCAACCCTCACTTAACAAAAAGTCTGATTTAGCAACAGACATTTTGGGCTCAATTGTGGTTGTACGTTGAGGGCTGTCAATATTATCTAACATGGATGCCCAGCAAACAATTGCAGAAAGATGGTAGGTGTGAGATTAAGTAACTTGACTGAGGTTGATCATTGCTTCCATCATCTTTTCCTGACAGTTTTCTTGGCCCACTCTGGAAATACAGTTTGAGATAACCAACTGCAAATTTATCCCTCTATTTTTTTTTGCCTCTCCGGGTTCCATTTACCTGGAAAGTCAAGCAGAAGGAGTTTTGCATGAATTGATTTCTTATAAAGGAGTTATAAGTGGAATTCTCCATTTTATAAAATTATTTGAGTTGGTTGAAAATTGTGTTTAAGCCACTGAAATAATTAATACCTAGCCACAAATAGTTAATTTCCTCTCAGCTGTTTGATTGGCTTCTATGGTTAATATTTTTAAGAACAGAGAAGTGTGCATTTTAAAAGAAAGAGCAATAAAACCAAATACAGTATATCAATTAAGGAATTCAACCATGCTTTTAACTACAAATAATACATTTTGCTCCTTTGGTTTTATGCAGGCAGAATGCATTACTTATTCTTCAATTACGGAGAAGATTAAATGTACCAATATGGCACCATCATGCAAAAATAAACAAGAAAGAATTATCCAACACAGACATACATGCACACCTACGCACGCACAGACATACAAATGCCATGTTCACAAATAAAGTGAGATAGTAACCAAGCATACAAATGAACATCTCTCCAATTGCAAAAGTACCTTGTAACAGACTTGGGCTGCAAACAGAAACCCCCTTTCAGAGTCTTGCAAAGTTTTACAAATCCTCAGTTATCAGAAAATAATTTGGCACATTTGTGAGCATGGTTAAAAAAAAGAGTGAGCAAGCAAAAGACAGAGCAACATTTACTTATTGCAAACGCGTCTTTTCTTTTTAGTATTCCCCCCCCCCTCTTGATCACATACTTAGCAAACAGAAATCTGTATTTCATTCTGCAAACGCAAACATTGTATTTTTCTTTTTTCTTTTTATGTTTGCATCTCCTCTATATACGTGCACCAAGCTCAGAACCTTTCAAAACAGCCGTAGCTTGAAATACTGCAAACGGAAACTAGAAAATGGAAAGAGCGGAAACCTCGTGGATGCTCCCCCACCCCATTTAAAAACAGGCTTGTCGACACCTTGTGCAGTGCACACCAAATCTCCGTAACAAATGTCACAACCAAAGGATGTCAATGAACAATTGTCCAAGTGCATGCATGCATACATGACCTATGCAATGATATGGCTTCCTATGCAATGAAACAGGAAATACAAATAGGTGGCAGCAGAAAAAGATGGAAAGCCAAACAAGACATGACCAATCCAGGCCCCACTTAACCAGGATTCATCCAAAGAGAAAGACTGTCAGCCCTCTGTCTTTTACAACTGGTCATAAAGATGGGAAACAATCAGAGTTTAAATTCATCATGATTAGCTTTTGTAACGCAGCCTTCCTCAGAGGTGGGGAACTAATGGCCCCTTTATGACTTCTGTGGACTTCCAGAACTCCTAGGAATGGCTGACATAAAAGGGGCCATCATTGTTCCCCAGCCCTGGGGAATCTTTCTGAATCTTTTCTGGGGTGTTAGAGATTTCAGGTCCCATCCTCTTCCCTCTTCTGAATGATGAACGAGCTGAGGTTAAGAGGTATTAAGAAAGTGGCATAATAAAGGCTGGAGGAATTTGTAAAAGAAATTGGAAGAAATGGCTGACTACAAGGAGGGCATTGGATCAAAACGCGGCCACCCATTTAATGCATTTTTCTCAGTCTGATGTCAGTGACTACATGCAGAGGCTTACAGGTGAATTTGGGAAGGAAAGTTTACAAAACCTTGTGGTCAATTCCCATTTCATAAAAACTATAAAGAATTGTAGAATAATAGAATTATTATTCTATAATTATCTATGGAATTATAGGTAATCAGAAAGGCTATTTGGGTCATCATGTTAATATCCTTGCTTGGGTGTCTATAGAGATTCTCAGCCATCCAGTCCTAGTGGTCTCAAAGGTGCTTCCCCCACCCCAAAAAAGGCAACTGAACCATTTTTACTCTTTCTCAAATAAAAACCAGCCCAGTTGCCTTTTGTGTGGGGAGCACCTTTAAAATAAGGAAGATATTTAAATATTTAACTTGCTGGCATTACCTAAGTTTTGGTGATGCCAAAGCACTAGTCTGTCAATATTCATACATAGATTATAATTGCTCGATATCAGGGGTGTCAAACTCAAGGCCTGTGGGCTGGATCCGGCCCGTGGGGTGCTTAAATCTGGCCCATGGGGCTTGCCTGTAAATAGCAAAGGACCGGCCTGTGGTGCCTCTGCTAGCAAAAATGGGGCACGGGGGCATGTGGATGACCCCCTGGCCCGATTTGGCTGGCAATAGCAATAGCAATAGCAATAGCAGTAGAC